TTGGCTTAAAATATGTTGGGAATTATGTTTTATATAATAATATTATTATTATTATTAATTAATTTAATTTTTTTTTATCATTAAAATATTTGGTGTCGCTTATGGATGACAACACAAGAAATATTTTATGTAACGAAATGTTAGGTAATATCGGTTTGAACCGACAGTATGTTTGATTAATTTATTATTTTAACTGTTGATGTCGGTTAGGATCGATAGTAGGTTTGATATTTTAATTCTTTAATTGTTACTTGACGTTGCTTAGAACAACCATCATGTCAGAAATTAACGTCACTTCTAATCGACGTAATGTTGGATGTCGCTTTTAAGCAACGTTGTTATTCTTTTTATTTTATATTACTTTGCTTCTTGGTGGTGCATTAAAAGGACTAACCGACGTCAGTACCCTTTTGGTGACTGTAGCAATGGTGTCGCTTCACCTTTCCGACATTGCACGACTTTATGCCGGATTTTTACAAAAAAATGCGACAGTAATTAGGTTTTATTGTCGGTTTTAACACCGCCAATGATAGCCTCTTTTGTAGTAGTGTTAAAACATTTCATTTTCATACCTCACGTACTATTTTATTTCAAAATAATACCTCTGTTAGATTTTCCATCTATTGATTCGTTAAATGTTGACGTGGCTGCCAAATGTGTGTCATGTGGCAAAAAAATTTCAATTTTTTTTTTAAAAACTTGAATCTTCTTAAAACAACAACAACAACAATAACAAAGCCTTTTCCCACTAAGTGGGGTTGGCTATATGAATCCTAGAACACCATTGCGCTCGGTTTTGCACATGTCCAAACTTCAAAGTACTTATTTTGTGTGTCCTGTGTAAAGTTGATAGGAGCATATGCTCCCAAACAACTTTGAGTGGAGTTGTTCAAAAAGAAGTTTCTATGGCCCCCTTGCTCATTTAACACTGCATCCGGGTGCCAATGGAGATACAGCGACCCTTGCTCACTTATCACTATGCTCGGGCCACACAGCGCGCCACTTACTGGTGACGCCCTAACTTTAGCGCGATTTTGTTCTGGATTCATTTTCATAAGGATTCGACGTAACTGTGGAGTGCCGGCTGTCGACTACCTGACGCCCTCCCCTTCCTCCTTTACCCGGGCTTGGGACCGGCAATGTAAGATAAACTTACACAGGCGGAGTTCTGAATCTTCTTAAAAAAAAAAAAAAAAACCAAAAACAAAAGCTAAAACACACCTCATCGCAACCCTCAAACCCAGAAACCTTATCCCCCCCACGACCCATGCAGACGCACCTCCCTCCCCCTTCCTCCTCTTCCTTTCTTCTCCCCCATCTTCACTTTCTTCCCCCCTACAACCCAGAAAAAAAAAAGAAGTAAAAAAACCCCTTCAGTTCGTCTTCCCCCCTCCTTCTCCCCTATCTTCATCTTCTTCCCTCGACCCCCTAACTACAACCTAGAAAAAAAAAACCCAGATCTCGTCTACGCCACCATCGCTGGGTTTGTGAGGTGAAAATGGGTGTGGATTTAAGGAGTGGGTGTGTAGAGGAGGGAAGAGGGTGGGTGCGCCAAAGGGGGGGATGTGTGGGGGTGAAGAGGAGAAAGGGCTCGGGGAAGGTGGGGGTGGGGTGGGTTTTTGGATGGGAGGGGAGGTGAAGAGTGTCACAGCCCGTTCCAAAATATTACATTCGTGGCTGTGAATGGACGAAATTACCCTTAAGAAATACTAAGTATGTGAAGCTCAAGTTGATAACTCCTGGAACCTCCACAATCATGATGGTATCCATTTCAGGTAAGTTTTGCTTCGGAAAAACCCTAGTTTCAAAGTTCCCGTGAAGAGCACTGTTCACGAACTTCGAATTGGCTTTGTTTTAGGTGAAACCAAGCTCACAGTGAGGTTAAGGAAGTCCCAAGGAAGCTCGGAGTGCTTCGTTGGCATGAATTGGACGTCAGGACCACGAGTTGTAAGTTTGGCCGAATTCTTGAATTTTTGAAAAGTTTGATCTCGTAGTTTTTAGGCCCTAAAACTAGTCCAACGTGATAGTAGGTGTTTAGGGCTTCAATTTGGTACAAATTACATGAAAAATGGTTGAAAAACGAAGGAGAATAGTGGATTTGAAAAATTACCCAGTTTCCGGCGACCGGAGTCCGGCGAAGGACCGTCGGAGAAGAGACTGGAATATTCCGTTAATTTTAATGGAATATCCTAACGGCAGTAACGGTATCCAGTTAAGTTTAACGGAATATTCCGGGGTTTTAACGGAATATTCCTGACGACGTTAACTGACGCCGTCAGCATGCGTTGCACGTGGCCGCGCGTGGGGGCGCGTAGGTCCGTGCCACGTCAGGCGCGTGGGGGCGCGTGAAACCTCCAAAAATTATTTTAAAAATATGGGGATGATCCTGAGGTTGTGTAGGTCACAGTGGTATATTCATATACCCAATTTGAGCAATATATGAGGAGTTATTAGCTAAGAATTGGGTTAGGCGTTAAATAACGCCAAATTGGTTACTTTTGTATAGGTGAGGCTTATGCGGGCATCGGGCATGGCCAAGGGATGCTCAGGGACCTACGAGACGTCGATGTAATCTGTGAGTGGGCAGTTTTGTTTTCCGTATATATATATACTTGACGTTTTCCCAGAAATTGAATTAGAATGAAATTTTGTTTTAAATGAAAGGTATATAGAATTATATGAAAACGTGAATTGAAAGGTCATGCATAGAAGTATATGAAATATATATGGAAATGTAAATTGAATTGCCATGCATGAAATGATATGAATCAAATGATATGAATTGAGATATGATGCATATATATGAAATGGTGCGGTGGACGCACAGGTGAGTATCAGGTGAGTATTATTATTGTTATGATGATGTTGATGTATATTGAGCTCAAATCCTGCACCATGGTTTAGTGCTTATAGTATTCACCGCATCGCACGCTCGTCTTGGATCCAAGTAGATGCTGGTCGCACAGTCCACGCGGAGTGGGTGCGACGGGCCAGTCGTAGAGTGTTAGTGAGATTTCGACTGGTGGGTGACCTTAGATTATGTGCACAGATGATTGATGAGAAAGCACTAGAGCGTAACTTGTGTGCAGAAGGCCGTACAGGTCACAGAGGTGACTCCGGCAGAGTGAGAGTGATAGATTTTGAGCTCTAGGTTCAACCGTACAGGGCTATTAGAGGGCCTCCGGTTGATTACTTTCTTGCACCTGATATGATTATTGTTGATGCATCCATACTTAACTGTTGAATTAGACATGGCATGGCATGATTGAGAAAGAAAAATGTTGAGATAGTAAAAATGAAGTTTTGAGAATATATATGTATATTTATATTTTACATTTCTGGGAAAGTATACAAGTTTTACGGAGAGGGGTTACAACGTTTGAGAAATGTTTGGATTTGGAAAAGAATTGTTTTACTGACCCACTCAATTTTGGTTTTGCGCCCCTCCAGGTTCAGGAATCACAAAGGTGTGGTGACTACGAGGAATTCGAGCGGGGTTCTGACATATTGGACAAAATTAGGACTCACCTTCGGGTGTATCAACTTATAAATTGTATTTAAAAGCTTCCGTACTGTGCAAATGGTTACATCACTCTCACGTGACGGCCAGCATGCCCTCCTTCGGGACGGGGTGTGTCAGTTGGTATCAGAGCAGGGTTACAACCTTGGACATCTTGAGAAGTTCTAGTGAATTCTGTCAGAACTACACCGCCTCGTAGCAAACCACGTAGTTAGAGGAACTTAGTCTCCCTGATTTAGCGGTTTAGAGGAAACTATTATTATGGTGATTCAGTATATTATCAAAATGGACATTTTAAGACGGGTTATGAGTTGAATTTGAATCACCTTATGGAATGATGAACCTGAGGGAACGAAGTAACGGTTTAACCATTTGGAAAAGATGTTTCAGATTATGCAAGTCAAAGGAATCTTCCTTCTGACAGGGGGTCGAGACGACTACCTGGTTTGAGTTATGAACGTGTATCCTGATGGAAGCAGGAGTATTAATTGTTGTCACCAGAGGAAGCAGCCGATTTAAAATTGTTTAAGGATTTGTTTAAGGAAAAGTTTATTCCTCCGGCATTGATCGATGGTAGTAAACAAGAGTTTGGAAATGTGAATCAAGGGAGTTGACGACAAATGAGTATTATAGAAAGTTTTCAGACTAGCCTCGTTTCCATCCATATATTACTGTTAATTTGGTTGAGGTGTTATGTTGTTTATGCTGGATAGTAAGAAAAAGCGGCGTTCTTTGAGTGATCACTATCCATTGTATTTCTTACCAAGAGTATACAAGATGTTGTTGAGCCTTGAGGACTCTGAGAATATGATCAGCTAGAGTGAAGAGGAATAAGAAAAGAATGGGAATTAAAAGAAGACGATAAAGTTAATGATTCGTCATATCAAGAATATCGAAGGATTCAGAGTTTCGAAAGAAGTGAAGCTAGAGTTAATTCTTCCAGCTGAGGTTTTAATGTCGCTGGTCAGAATAAAAGTGATGGATATACTGGTAATCCCAGATATTTGAGACAAGGTGTCTCGAGTAAAGGAAATGTACCTTGTGCAGCAGGTACACAATTAACACTTTGGGAAGTGTGAAATCAAGGAATGTGTTTATGTGGATAGAGGGGACATAGAATTATGAATCGTCCCTAAACTCAGTTGTACCCAACAGTTTTCTATGACATCGTAGTATCGATTCAGCAGGTTTATGGACTTAGTAGTTTGGTCGGATTGACCGTGGGTACAGAGAGATTTGATGAGTTATATGTTCAGCCATACAAGCCACGAGAGGTGGATCTGGCTGACGCATGAGAAATTGGTGAGTTATAGGCTCGGCCGTACCGACCACGCGGAGTGGATCCGGCCGACGTATTATTGAGATAAGAGTTGAATTAGCCGTATTGGTCATTCTAGTTGACTTCGGCTGATATATTTCTTATTATGTATGTTATTGCCTAGAGAGTAGTAAATAAATGTAGTTGAGACGAATGTATGTATTTTGCATTGAGTGACAAAATAGTAATGTTATATCTTTGAGAGTGGTTGCCTACTTATCGAGACAACGATGATTTATCAGTATTGCGGGCTGCAGACCGTAATATTAATAACTCATTCGTGGATTCGCTAAGCAAGCAAACCGGTAGGTTATTTTATGTTAGTGTTGTACTTATTTAGAATGTTCAGTAATAATAAAGTATGTATTGGGTCAATTAATTTTATTCCATTAGAGTGATTGTTTATAGTTGTGACTAGATGGAATGTTACGGGAAACCAGTTACTTTCCATTGAGTTGATTAATTAGAGGTTACTTTGGTGGGCATATAAAGTGAAGTGAGTTCAGCCATTATTTATGCTGTGAAAGCAAAGAGATTGTTTTGAAAGGCTGCCCAAAATTACTTAGTTCATGTGGTACTAAAGGATGTTGCTCGGAGAAGTGTGAAAAATGAAAAAGGGGTTAGACTTTTCTTGATGTCTTCCCTGAAAGTATACCTGGATTGTCTTCAGGCAGAGATATGAGGTTCATTATTGAATTGTTGCCAGGTATAAATTTATGTTAAAGATTGGTTCAGGATGAGTTAAGGGAATTGGAAATTCAGTTGAAAGAATTGGTTGATAAAAGTTTCATTCAACCTAGTACAACACTTTTGAGGAGCACCAGTTTGTTGGTGAGAAAGAAAATGGACTTAGAGATTGTTCATTGATTATAGACAATGGAATTGGTAACGATCGAGAACCGTTATCCATGATAGTGTACTGATGTTTAGTTGATAAGCTCAGAGATGTTTGTGTAATTTCAAAGATTGATTGAGGTCTGGTTATTACCAATTGAAGATTTTGAGCGACATTGATCATAAGATGGTTTTCTGGATTTATTATGATCTTTTATGAGCTTTGGTGATGCTATAAGAAAACTCACGCTGTTTTAGGAGTTTATGGATGAAGTATTCCACGAATGTCGTGATAAATTGTTATCATTTGTCATTGACGATATTCTGGTACATTCTGAGCCAGAGCAGAGCATGTAAACGTATTAAGTCGATGAAGCAAAGATTGAGAGAACGTTGGTTGTATGCTAAGTAGCAAAGGCTAAAGTTAAATGAATCAAGTGGCATTCTAAGAATTGTTATATCAGCTTAAGGTATTCAAGTGAATCCTTAAAAGATAGCAGAAATTGAGAATTTGGAACAACCACGAGTCGTAATTGAGATTTGGAATTTCTTAACTTACCAGGCTATCTTGGATGGTTGTGAAAGAGTTTTTAGTCATTGCTTTGTCATTGACGAGACTGTTGAGAAAAGAGGTTATGTATGAGTGGGAAGGAAATTGTGAGTAAAGGATTCAACAATTGAAGTATTTCCTCACTCATGCACGTATTTTGGTATTTCCAGAGAATAGTGGTAATCATAAATTTTTAGTGGTGTTTCTTGAATGGTATTGGAGGCATGTTGATGTAAATGTTAGGGTGATTGCATACGTTTCACGATAAATGGAATCTCATAAGACGAATTACCCTACTGGTGATTTGGAAGTCACGATTACCATCCTTGCTGTGAAGTTATGGAGACATTATATTTTAGTGAGAATGCAAGATTTTTTTTTTTTTACGAATCCAAAAAAAAGTCTTCAATATCCATTACTTGGAAGGATTTTGATATGAGGCAGCGAAAGTGAATTGTATTGTTTAATGTATATGATTGTACGACCAGGGTGATCGTAAAATTGTTCTAGCTGATACACTTGGTGAAAAGATTGCAGTAAGATTAATGTCTGGCACGTTGCCAAGAGTATCATCTTGTGGATTGAAAACCAACGGAAGAAAAGTTAAGAGTGAAAGATCGAGAAGAAGTTATACTTGTTAATTTTCAAGTTAGGCCTGTTTGGTAAGGTCGTATTCGAAACTTAAATGTTTGACGAGGAAATTTAATAAATTACCAAGGCAGAGAAAGAAAGGAAAAAGAATGAGTACATGATTCGTGAATCAAATGGTATGTGGATACAAGAAAACAAAAAGTATGTGCCTAATGCTAAGGATTTAAAGTAAGCAATTTTGGACGAAGTACATTGTTTAACTTCTGCAATATTCCAAAAGTAATAAGATTTATCATACCATTCGACAGTTTTATTTGGTCAGCAGATTGAGGCAGAAAGAGATAAACCTTTGGATTGAGATAACTATTTTCTGTTTCGCAGTGGAAATAGAAAGATATTACTTTGGATTATGTGTACAAGTTTCCTTGTACATAGGATGGTTATGATCGAATTTGAAGTGTTAGTTGGTCAATGTACCAAGTTAGTACAATTACTCCAGTGTTGAGTAATAACTTTTTCCCAGACAGGACAACGATACTTATTTGTTTTATGGAAAGAGAATTGGATTACGGAACTGCTGAGTTTCTTAAGTATGTTAGGTGCGCAGTTTCCGAAATAACGCCATAGGGTCCCTGAAGCGTGTCGTGTGAATGAAATGCTTCTGAATAGAGAAAGATTCGATCAAGAAAGAGTTTTAGTAGACCCTGAGACTATGGATGAGTCTCCTCAAAGTATTCAGGTGATTAAGTTAACCTGAAGTAACCAGGAATGGCAAAAGAGATCAACAGATGGATATGCCACTAATCGAGTGTATAAGACAGATGGTTTTATATTTTCGAAGTTTTCACCTTGGAAAAGTGTGATTCGGTCTGGATAGGAAGGCAAGTTAAATCCTAAGTGAACCGAATTTTATGTGATCATCGAAAGGTTGGTGAAGTTGATTATAGAATTGAATGGCTTCCAGAGTTGTCGTAAGTGCATGATGTGTTTCATGATTCAATATTTTGGAAAATTCACCATGAACAGAAATAGTAAGATTCAGAAAGAAGACAAGATAAGTCTTGAACACATCAGTCCGTTTTGATCATTAAAGGAATCGACGAAGTTGCATACAAGTTTGTGATGCCTTCAGAATTGGCTAAGGCACATAATGTATTTTGTGTTCGATGCGTTGTCACTAGGTGGCAGAGTCGTCTCATGGAATTCTGGTGCAACTATTGAGAATTAAGCTGGATCTAATTAGTGAGGAGCTATGGACGACTTTGGATTGGAAAAAGAAAATCCTGAGAGTTAAGATAGAGTAAATGGTAAAAGTTTTGTGAAGGAATTATTCAGTGGAAGAAAATTGCGTGGGAGAAAGAGAATCGGATGAAAGAAACTTACCGAGTTTGGTATGAGTATTGATGGGTTGATTGGTGGCTGGAATTTCGGGGACGAAATTCTATAAGGAGGGGAGATTGTCACAGCCCGTTCCAAAATATTACATTCGTGGCTGTGAATGGACGAAATTGCCCTTAAGAAATACTAAGTATGTGAAGCTCAAGTTGATAATTATCTAGGTTCCTAAGTTTTGAAAATAAAATGGAATTTAATAAGGATGGAACTTAGATTTTTAGGTTAAAATTTTGTGGTTTGGAGTTGGGGATTGGAAAAGGACATCCCCACACCCCTCAATCCTCCCTATTTTCTGCATGCTGTCTCTCTCTCTCTTCCCTCACGACTCTCTCACTCTCTCTGTCACTCTTCTTCTCCGTTCGAACCAAACCAACCACAAAACCACCCTAAACTTCTACCAACGACGGAGTTAAGACCACCATCAAACTCCTGGAACCTCCACGATCACGATGGTATCCATTTCAGGTAAGTTTTGCTTCGGAAAAACCCTAGTTTCAAAGTTCCCGTGAAGAGCACTGTTCACGAACTTCGAATTGGCTTTGTTTTAGGTGAAACCAAGCTCACAGTGAGGTTAAGGAAGTCCCAAGGAAGCTCGGAGTGATTCGTTGGCATGAATTGGACGTCAGGATCACGAGTTGTAAGTTTGGCCGAATTCTTGAATTTTTGAAAAGTTTGATCTCGTAGTTTTTAGGCCCTAAAACTAGTCCAACGTGATAGTAGGTGTTTAGGGCTTCAATTTGGTACAAATTACATGAAAAATGGTTGAAAAACGAAGGAGAATAGTGGATTTGAAAAATTACCCAGTTTCCGGCGACCGGAGTCCGGCGAAGGACCGTCGGAGAAGAGATTGGAATATTCCGTTAATTTTAACGGAATATCCTAACGGCAGTAACGGTATCCAGTTAAGTTTAACGGAATATTTCGGGGTTTTAACGGAATATTCCTGACGACGTTAACTGACGCTGTCAGCATGCGTTGCACGTGGCTGCGCGTGGGGACGCGTAGGTCCGTGCCACGTCAGGCGCGTGGGGGCGCGTGAAACCTCCAAAAATTATTTTAAAATATGGGGATGATCCTGAGGTTGTGTAGGTCACAGTGGTATATTCATATACCCAATTTGAGCAATATATGAGGAGTTATTAGCTAAGAATTGGGTTAGGCGTTAAATAACGCCAAATTGGTTACTTTTGTATAGGTGAGGCTTATGCGGGCATCGGGCATGGCCAAGGGATGCTCAGGGACCTACGAGACGTCGATGTAATCTGTGAGTGGGCAGTTTTGTTTTCCGTATATATATATACTTGACGTTTTCCCAGAAATTGAATTAGAATGAAATTTTGTTTTAAATGAAAGGTATATAGAATTATATGAAAACGTGAATTGAAAGGTCATGCATAGAAGTATATGAAATATATATGGAAATGTAAATTGAATTGCCATGCATGAAATGATATGAATCAAATGATATGAATTGAGATATGATGCATATATATGAAATGGTGCGGTGGACGCACAGGTGAGTATCAGGTGAGTATTATTATTGTTATGATGATGTTGATGTATATTGAGCTCAAATCCTGCACCATGGTTTAGTGCTTATAGTATTCACCGCATCGCACGCTCGCCTTGGATCCAAGTAGATGTTGGTCGCACAGTCGACGCGGAGTGGGTGCGACGGGCCAGTCGTAGAGTGTTAGTGAGATTTCGACTGGTGGGTGACCTTAGATTATGTGCACAGATGATTGATGAGAAAGCACTAGAGCGTAACTTGTGTGCAGAAGGCCGTACAGGTCACAGAGGTGACTCCGGCAGAGTGAGAGTGATAGATTTTGAGCTCTAGGTTCAACCGTACAGGGCTATTAGAGGGCCTCCGGTTGATTACTTTCTTGCACCTGATATGATTATTGTTGATGCATCCATACTTAACTGTTGAATTAGACATGGCATGGCATGATTGAGAAAGAAAAATGTTGAGATAGTAAAAATGAAGTTTTGAGAATATATATGTATATTTATATTTTACATTTCTGGGAAAGTATACAAGTTTTACAGAGAGGGTTACAACGTTTGAGAAATGTTTGGATTTGGAAAAGAATTGTTTTACTGACCCACTCAATTTTGGTTTTGCGCCCCTCCAGGTTCAGGAATCACAAAGGTGTGGTGACTACGAGGAATTCGAGCGGGGTTCTGACAGATTGGACAAAATTAGGACTCACCTTCGGGTGTATCAACTTATAAATTGTATTTAAAAGCTTCCGTACTGTGCAAATGGTTACGTCACTCTCACGTGACGGCCAGCATGCCCTCCTTCGGGACGGGGTGTGTCAAAGAGAGTGGAGAAGAGAGAGGTGGTTGGAAGGCTTGGGAGGGAGAAGAGGGGTGGGGAGAGGTTGTGGGGGTGGGTTCTACGTTTTCTAAGTTTTATTTTTTTAGAAGATTCAAGTTTTATTTAAAAAAATAAAAAATTGTTTTTTTGCCACGTGGCACACATTTGGCAGCCACGTTAGTATTTAACGGATTAATGGATGGAAAATCTAACGGAGGTATTATTTTGAAATAAAATAGTACGTGAGGTATAAAAGTGAAATGTTTTAAAGATGTTGTATGTGGTTGTAATAGACTTCAAACCTGAGGAGTTACTATGTAATTTACCCTAATTATTTTGTTTCATGCAATTTACTTCCGTACTTGTCCTTCAATTTTATATTTTAAGCGTTTTACTTTTGGTTTTCAATTCTATTTACTTTTAAAACACTTTTATTTAATGCAATCACCTTTAAATTTATTTATTTTCTCGCAGCTAGAATAACTTAAGGGATAGTTTAGTTGCGGTCCCTTGTCCCTAACTCTTATAGACTCAAATTTTATGCATTTTAGGTTTTTGATTGAAGTCCCTCTCATTGAAGTCCCTCTCCTAGTCTCCAACCACATAAATGATATAATAATAAAAGAGATACAATAATACCAAGATTCAACAGTTTTTTTTGCTTTCATTTACACTACCAATTCAATTATTCAAATTGCTTATGGATTTTGATATAAAAAAATAAAAAATTGCTTAGGGGTGCATTCTAGATTATGAAAAAAAGGGATTTTATTTTATTTTTATAAAATATAAGTACATTTATGTAAACTTTTGGCTACATTTTACATATATAAAAAATTGGTACACTATAAAAATGTGGATACATTTTACATACAAAAAAACTGATAGATTTTATACAAAAAAAGGGGCACGTTTTATATAACAAAAAATAGGTGCATTTTATATAAAAGACAGTGGGTACATTTTATAAAAAAAACAATGGTACATTTTAGATTTAAAAAATAAATAGATTTCACATTAAAAATGAGTACATTTTACATAAAAAAACGGTACTTACAAAAAAAAGGATACAATTTGCATATTATAAAGTGTACATTTGTAAAGAAAAATGGGTACATTATAAATAATTTATTGGTACAAAGAAAAGGTTAAAAAAATTATAAGTACTAATAACATTTAAAAAAAAAGAGACAAAAATAATTTAATATATGGGTACAAATAAAATTTAAAAGAAAATTGGTTCAATTTAAAAAAAGGGTTGCAAATTAAAAATGGGCACAAACTAGAAGTAAAATATATATGATAACAAGTTTAGCCATAAATATAAATATACCAAATGAAACATTTTTAATTCGAACACTAAATGAATATATTTAAAAATAAAATTTAATTGTCTTGACATGTAAATATTTTATTTTTGAAATCCAAAGAACCTTGATAAAAAATTAAAAAAGAATAATGTTTAAATCTATAAAGTAAAAAAAAAAGTATGAGAACCTAATTTCTCTTTAATTTAATCTCTTTATTTACAATTTCTTTTACTTTCGTCTACTCGTCTACATCAACCTATACATTTTATCACTTGGTTGTTTGCTCATAGTCTTGAATCTGAGGTCCCTTGCTCGACCGCACATCATTTGATTAATATTAAATTTAATGTGCAAACAGAATCACACTCACATGTTTTCTTCGTCAACCAATCTGGCCACATGGTGGCACGCCCATGCTTCAAACCAAATGACAAAAAAAATCCTTCCAGGACGCTTGGTCTAGCCGAAAAGAGAGAAACATGGTGTAATTCATGGTTACAAACATGTGTGCAATCATAAAGTAATTTATACAGTTACTAGGGCAATATAATTATGTTTCCCTCTTTTCGGCCGGGTCGGATTAAGAGAGGGATTTATTTTGTACTTTTTCTTTGGAGCGTAGGCGTGCCACCCCCAAACCACGGATTTAGCTTGGGTGGAATATGTATTTGAAGTGCATCGTGAAGCTTCTAAAAAAACGATTGAATCACCAAACTTAATACAATAAAAAACTCATAAACTACATAAACTTAGTAATGATATCCACCATCTTGACTTGGTGATGGACTTGGGTGATAGTCTTGAGATGAATCATCATCTTGAAATATACTCCTTGTGACATTCCTTTGTAAAATGTCATTTTGCTTACTACGTAAGTATTTCTTCATCTCTGGAGTGTATTTGTCGAGGTCATCCATCATCAAATTAACTTCAAACCTTTCTTGCTCCCTATCCCCTTCTTCCTTCATGGCCAAACGCATTTGGGCCAATTCTTCTTGTCGAGAGATATGGTTTTCGTTGAATCTTACTATTTCACTAGCAAATTGTGCACATATCGGATCTTGGGACTTCCCTTTTCTCTTTGCTTCCTTTTGCTTATTTCTATCCGGAGGCCTTGCAAAAGGAGAAGTTAGGGTCATTTGTTTGACACCTTCATTGTCGGCAAAATCACACCTTCATTGACATCATTTGGGGGTGGGGCTTCATTATGAAAGAATCTTCCACATTGTTGGTTTGCATCGGTTCCCCACCTCGGACAATTCTTGAGGATGTTCCAAGCATGATGCAACTTAAAAGCTTGATTTTTTGGGTGTAGTTCTTGTCTTGTAAATTGTCATTGCTTTGTCACCCTATGCAACAAATACATAAAAACAATTAGTTGCAAAATACTATTATGTACATGACAACTAAAATATCAACAAAGAAACTCACAATTTTTGAGGCGTCCCTTCCACTAGGCATGTTAACCATGACTCTCTCTAAGCTTCCCTTCCACAAAGTGCATGCTTTGTTGATAATCTTCCATCGATCATAAACACCACAAACTTCCCTTCAACCGGCGTTGGAGTTTTCATGGAACTTATCAACGATTTTACCCCACAAAACTTTTCTATTTTGATTGGTGCCGATGGCACCATCTTCGCTAACAGAAATCCATGCCAAACATAAGGCAATATCTTCATCAAAGGTCCAATTACGACCTCTAACATACTCTTTTGCCATCTTGAAAATTTTGGACATGAGAAGAAATGATAGAAAGAAAAATTGGAAGAATTGTAGGAGAAAAGTGAGTTTTGTGTGGATGTTTGAACAAATACATAGGTATTTATAGAGTTTTTGGTTGAATTTTAAGTTAAATATTTTTTTTAAAATTATTTTAGCCGTTTGATTTAAATTTGAACCGTTAGATTATTATTATTTTTTTACCGTTAGATGTGATTATATTTGATTTAAGATGTTGAATTCAATAAATATATAAATATAAAACTAAAAAAAATAATTGGAACCTGGACCATTGGATTAACCAACGGCCCATTTAAATGGAGCTGTTGGATGAAGAAAAGTAGCTGTTGGGCTACTTATGGATCTGACACTGGGGGAACAACCCCACGTGGGTATGTTTTTCTGGTGGGAAAGGCCTAGCGTGTGGGCGAGTCATGAATTGGGCAGTGGGCTTGACAACCCGATTTCAATCTCATTTGTTGGGGTCCACTTTGCTTTGTGGCCTAAATTTGGGCTGGTATTTGGGTTAGTTTTAGGTTTTAGGTTTTAGGTTTTAGGTTAGTTTTAGGTCATGGATTGGAGTGGGTTTTGGGGGGGGAAAAGGGGAAATTTTAGGTTATAAGCCATTGTTGGAGTTGGTCTTAGGATCAAGAGTGGTTAGAATGGATTTGTATATTTTGTGATTTTTGGGTTTATAAATGCAAAGAAATTTAAGGGTGCGGGGAATTAAAGTGCGATAATATAAAGAACGATAAAGTAAAGAACAAGAATGTAAGTGTGTAAAGTAAATCGACGTGAAGTAAAGTGCAATCGAAATAAACAAACTCAGCTAAAATGGAATTCAAATAACAAGATAATTAAAAGTGCTTTAAACAATAAAGCATAAAGCAAAAAACTTATATGAACTAAGAACTTGAAAAGTAAACTGCCCCCGGCCAGAAATAAAAACCTAGATAAAAAATGGCTATTGTTTGTCATTTTAGGTCCTTTTTTTTAATCACTTTCGGATAAAAAATATTAGTTCATCTTCTTGAAGTTGAAACTCTTTGAATGTGATTAACAATCAGTCAAACTAATTTGGGCAGGTTATATCAAATATATTAGCTACTGGAGCTGTTGCAGGAATTGTTATGACCGCACAAATACATAAGGAATCGGGAGATAAAGATTACTACGTAAACAAATATATCAAGAGGTCACTTGCATCAGATAGACTTGTCTTCATTGCCTTCATCTGCACTTTCATATTATCCGTCCTCTCTTCGTATGCACTCCCCAAGAAGGTTTATTATAATTAGGATTGAAGGGATATGAGGATTGGTAATCTATATATATCTTCATTTTGTAGTACTACTCTATATATTAATGTGTAAGTTGCCACTTAATTTAATTCAAAAGACAAAGGTGGAAGAACTAAACTGAAATTTTATTGGCACTTGATCTAAAAAGTCATCATGCACTTGTGTTATAAAGTGGAACTGATTTTCAACTAGTTCTATTTTTCTCCTCGTATACTCTTTAAATCAAATGAGGATTTTTTTTGAAGAAAAATCAAATGAAAATTAAAAGGCAAAAATAAGTGGATATAAGTTCAGAATAGAAAACAATAGTGAAAATTAATACCCTTATAAAAACACAAGGGAGAAATTAATTCCCACTCGGATGAATACAATATATTTTTCTTGGTGGGCTGATAACAGCTCCCATTTGAATTTCATCCTCCAGATCTCAAAATTGAAAACAAGAGACCAATCAAGTTATACTAAAGTTTGAATGCTGAAATTAAAATTCCTTGCTTCATCGAGCAAGACCCCATATAATTGCTAGCCTTTCAAAAAGCAGATCAAATAGCAAGGTCTCAAGTTGCAGTTCCAAAAATGTTCCCTTGATGTGTTTTGGTGGGGAAAAATGAAGCAACAATATTTCCATTTTTTGTTCTTTTCTAAAAAAAGGAGGATAAATTACATATTAGCCCGTCAGGTTTGAGGTCTATTACAACCCCATACAATATCCTTAAAATATTTCACTTTCATATCTCACCTACTATTTTATTTCAATATAGTACCTTCGTTACATTTTTCATCCATTGATCCGTTAAAAGCTAATGTGGCTGCCACATTTGTACCACGTGGCTGCCACATGTGTGCCACGTGGCAAAAAAAATATTTTTTTTAATTTAAAAAAAAAAATCATGAATCTTCTCAACAAAAAAATAAAAAAATAATAAAAAATAATAAAAAATCCTCTTCTTCTTCCCCACCCAAGCACATCCCCTTCTCCCATCCTCATCACCCACCCCTACCCGAGCCCACCCTCTTCTCCCATCTCCCATCACCCATCACCCACCCTTCACCTTGCTAAGATGCCATATGTAGTGGGCGTGAAGCCGTTGGAACCCGTCGAGAGCGAGGACCACAAAGCGACGCAGACGGTGGGGGTCAGGCGTGAGTTCTTTTGTGGGATCTGGGTGTGAGTTCTTCTGGGCGTCTGGCGTCGGGATCTGGATATGAGTTCTTTTGGATACCTAGCAATGAGCTGTAGAAAACCCTAAATGGTGAACATGGTGCGGCTCTGCACGCAAGCCCATTTCAAATCCACATACAGCCTCCCGTCAACAATCACCACGCAAAACATCTCGTATTGCTTGGTGGTCTCCAAATGGGCGGCAGAGATCAGGACCCGGGCCCAGGGCTCCAGATCGTGGTGGATCCAACGGAAGAACTCGGGCATTTCGGGGCTTTTTCACGGGACCATGGAGGATGGGGTCGTTCAAGGACTTCGTTGCTTTTGTAGCGGCAGGCGAGGTAGGAGCAGTGGATGAGCTTGTACGCCCGGTCACAGAGACTTTTAGGCGAGAAGAAGTGCCACGGCGTCAGCTCGAGGTTGTGGATGGCCAATGTCTTGATCTGGGTGTGAGTTCTTCTGTGGGATCTGATGCCTAGCACGTCCTTGCTTGTTAGGATTTCAGGTTGAATGTGGCGGCGGAGTTGGGGTTAGGATTGTGGATATTTCAATTTGGAGGTCAGGGGGAACTGAACAGAGTGGAGGAGCGGGGAAAGGAAGGGGAAGGGGTGGGTTTCTGCGTTTTTGTTTTTGTTGAAGATTTAGGTTTTTTTGAAAAAAAAAGTTAAATTGTTTTTTTGCCACGTGGCACAAATGTGTCAGCTATATCAGCTTTTAACGGATCAATGGATAAAAAATGTAACGGAGGTACTATATTGAAATAAAAATAGTAGGTGAGGTATGAAAGTGAAATATTTTAAAGATGT